AAAGCTCAGAAAAAAAATTGATTACTTTGAGTTCATTCACTAAACACCTATTTTTCAGTTCCAAATGGAACAAAAATTATCAAAATCAGTGCCCTTTGGACCTGGATCAACTTGTTATCTGTCTGCTAAGATCAGGTTAGGCCCCTTCTGTTTTCTGCTCTCAAAATCCTTACACTTTTCCTTCAGAGCTCTTACCATATTATACTAAATAATTAATTGTGCTATTAATTGATTAATTTCTTTCTCATTTTCTGTATACCAGGAGTCAGCAAACTATAGTCAGTGGGCCAAATCTGGCCCATTGCCTGTTTTTATATGGCCTACAAGCTAAGAATAGTTTTTTACATTTTTAAATGGTTATATAACAATCAGAAGAAGAATATTTCTGACACATAAAAATGATATAAAATTCAAATTTCAGTGTCCAAAATTAATGTTTGACTAAAACACAGGCATGTCGATTCATTTGCATATTGTCTTTGACTGCTTTCATGCCATGATGGCAGAGCTGAGTAGTTATGACAAAGATGGCATGGTCTACAGAGCCCAAACTATTGACTATTGACCTTTCACAGAAGAAGTTTGCTGACCCTTGTCCTACACAGCGAAGATGAAGAACATGTTTGTCATTATTAGCACTGTATTCAGATTGCAGAGATTTTAAAATGTGACAAATTACACATCTTAAAATCAACAAAATATGGTAAATTTCCACCAGTAAAGGAATGGTTACATAGTTTTGAAACACTTATATGAATAAATACTACACTGCGGTTAAAATCAGTGACTAAGAACTATTTATCTCAAAGTAGCTAGATTTTTAAAACCTAAGGTAAAATGAACAAAAAAATTCTAGAATGTTACATTAAATATGATACATGTATGTAAATCTAGAAATATGAAATAATGTTACATATGGTTGCTTGATATATCTATATGTAGTCAATGATTAAAAACCTAAATTGGAAGAAGGATTAGAAAATTAACAATGGAAAAGTAAGAAGAGAAATGGGACTGAGGAATGATACAAATAGACTACTAGTGTATTATTTTTTTATTACTTCTTTTTGCGTCTTTATTTCTTAAATAAACAAAGGTATGAAGAAAGGTAGCAAGATATAATCACTGTTCATTCTAGATGGTGAGTACACTTAAGTTTGTTAAATGTTTTCTATACCATATAAATAATACAAAATAAAAAGAAAAGCAACAAGGCTATGAAAGTATTTCTTATTTTTATTTGCAGTCAAAGAAATGTGAACGCTGGAAATGCGGTTCAGATCTCCAGACTTACCACCAACAAACTAAATATAATTGATGGTAATCAGTTGGAAACATAATCTTAATTTTTTCTCAAATGAAGAACACTTTGTATTATGACTAGCTTATCCTAAAAGGAAAATAAATAACAGCCAATAGCCTGTATAAAATACACAAGAGATAACAGTAGAAGAACTAACATGATATACAACAAAGAACTTGTCTCACAATAAGACCAATGTGAGACATTGAAACCGAATACAAATTGACACAGTTTCCTGATAAAAACTTTATTGCCCCTGATAACAGCACAGGTCATAAGATAGTTACCGTTTATTACTTACATGTAACTAACCAAATTCCAGCAGCTGTGATATGGGCTTTCCAACTCCTTGATATCTTCCAATGCTTGATAACTCATTGGCCTCAGGGACTCAGGTTTGGCCAGTCTGTATTGTTTCACAAAGCACACGAGAGCTCATTTTATCCCTTTCCCATGTCTTCTGATAGGCTTAGGATAAGACGAAAGGACCAAAGTAGCAACCCAGATATTTGGTTAATATATCCCATAGGGGTATGCTTTAGTGATAAGTCTCCAATAAAATACGTTTCAGGGCTATTTTTGACATGGGCTCTGCTGAGCCATCTTCCAGGAACCCTTCACATTTCCCCTTCTTTGGAAGAAATATACTGGATTCCCACAAAGTCATCATTTACCATTTGTATTAATTCTAGGAATAACCTAGCTTATCTTCAAATATTAATATTGTTGGACTTGGAAGATAATACGGATAAAAGTACAAGTTGGACATCTTATATTTTGGCAGAGAAAAGTTCTTAAAGCTCAGCCTTGGTTACTCCAAGAGTAAGGATTCCTCTCTCATCACCAAGAAGTGGATTTTAAATAACCCCAAACCAACTTTTTAAGTATTTGAACAAACTTCTCAGTGCCTGGTTAGTAAGGATTGTTAGGAAGAACAACTACAAATAAAATGAAAACAACTAAATTTTAGTGAGTTTAGTGAGTTGTCATGGGAAACAAAAGTGCTACATGGCAATTAGGGATATTATAACCTTAAAGTTTGCTATAAATATCACATTATTTCAATTAAAACAAAACTGAATTTTAATAATGTCTCATGGGTGGATCTGAACTTAACTGCTTTCTACCTGGTAATGGGGAAGATCTGGGAGGAGAGTAAACCAAGTACAGCTTGTAAAGGATAAGAGTGATCATAGAGAGACATCTATAATTCTGCCCCTTACAGAGAAAGGAAGGACTCAGAGGTTTTCCATCCTCAAAACCTTTAAACTCTGCTTTGAAAGGTGGAGTCCGATGATCACTTTTTTAACCCTGAAGACATGATTTTTTTTTCTGGTTGAACACAGAATATTGATGACCCTGTAGTCTTTCCCTGCTTTTATTTGTTTATTTGTTTACATAGCCATATATCAAAGAGCCCAGCTATGAAATATTTCAGATATTTTACTTATTTAGAATACTTTAATATTTTATTTGAAATTATAAAATTTCTTTTTGATGTGTATATGTATATATGATTCTACATAAATATTACTCTATTATGCTATTTGTAGTTTATGATAATGATGGGAAAAATACATGTGTGTTATTACTGATAGGGAACAGGAAAGTTAAACTATAACTTTCTATTTGGAAAATGTTAAACATACAGAAAAGTTGAAAGAATAGTATGAGTAATGCCCTTATATCTTCCACTTAGATTCAGTAATTGATATCATTTTATGATATTTGCTTTGTTTCTCTCTCCTCAACACATTTCTCTCTCTTTCTACACACACACAACTATAATACCATTATCACAAGAAACAAAATTTAAAATTCTGACATTATCAAATATTGGTCTGTATTTATATTTCCCAATTGTCCCTCAAATGATTTACTTTATTAATCAAGACCAATTAAAATTTCCTCACTAGATTAGGTTGCTATATCTCTTTAGATTCTTTTAATCTAAAATGGTTTCTTTCCTCCATGACACAGTTTTTCAAGAATTCCAGAACACACTCCATTCTGGATTTGTGATTGCTATTATTCACTTCTTCTCAAATACTTATTTTAACGCAGCAAGTTTACTTCTCAAGTTATCTTAACTATCATATTTGCATGATACATTATTTTTTAAACTTTAATTTCCACTGAGCTCTCACTATAGTTCTGGCTTTGCATTTACATATTTTTGTATATATTTTGTGAAGTAATTCCCTTTGTCTTTTTAACAAAAGAATATGCTGGCTATACGTATTAGATTTTCTGTGGGTTCTATTGACTTTTGGATTCTGAGGACATGAATCAATTACGAACTTAACTGCATGACCCCCTCACAAATCCCTGCAGGAGACACCTGCACACAAGCTGGCCTATAATAATAGTATGAGAGTCAGGGTCTGTAGAAAATCCCAGCCTAACTTTTTTCCAGACTGGCCAAACTGAACCTGAACCATATAGTATGTTTCTCATAGTTGCCAAAATTGCCAACTCAGAAGTAAACCTGGGGCCGGCCCGGTGGCACAAGCAGTTAAGTGCGCGCGCTCTGCTGCGGCGGCCCGGGGTTCGCTGGTTCGGATCCCGGGCGCGCACCGACGCACTGCTTGGCAAGCCATGCTGTGGCGGCGTCCCATATAAAGTGGAGGAAGATGGGCACAGATGTTAGCCCAGGGCCAGTCTTCCTCAGCAAAAAAAAGAGGAGGACTGGCGGATGTTAGCACAGGGCTGATCTCCTCACAAAAAAAAAAAAAAAAAAAGAAGTAAACCTGACTAAGGAACTTTTCTCAGTATCCCCACATGAAGCTGGCGACCTCCACCCTCCCAATAAAAAGGTAATAGAGATGACTTTTCATCTACAGCCAAATGACAGTCTTGCAAAGAAGTTGTTAGCAGCATCTTGATGCAGTAGAGATCTAACTCACGTGCAATATAGGATGTAGGATCACGTCTACAATTTCATCCAGTTCTTGCTCTGACTCTTCTTCAGCCCCTATTCATTCTTCCTTTGGTTCTGCATCATTGACTGTAGTCCTCCTTAGGTTTTAAATTTCTCCATTGCCTCTTATTCTATCACATTATCATTATCCATCAGGGAGGCTCCATCTCTCAGAATATGGGCAAGGCAAGTTTATTCATCTTATTTTCCTTAAGATCTTGACTCATCACTTGGCTTGTCAAATGATTCTGAATTTTCTTTAAAACTGGCTACTATGTTTAAGAGGCGACCCTGAACCATCACTTCTACTGTTAGCTTCAGCTCCTTCCATGCCCTTACCTCTCTGGGATACTTGTAATTTCCATACTCACCTCTACTTATAATTCAACATTTACATAATTTTATTAAACAAGATAGAAAGAAATACATATGTATGCCTACAGAAGTGAGTTCCTGAGATATCAACCAGAAGAACTACTCCAGTAGATGTCCCCCTTAAAAATTTAATACCACATTTTGTGCCACAGATCCCTAACAAGAAAAAAGCAGGGGAAAGTACAAATTTCACCTGTTCCTGGGGAAGTGCTTTCTTGCTAACGGGAAAGAGGCAACAGCTGTGGCAATTCCCAGCCTTTGCTGGGAAAAGACCCCTCTCCATGGCAGAAATCTTAAACCAATGCCAAGTCTTTCCCCATGAGCTCCGCATTCCTGTTATTCATTTCAGCGTCCCTCCCCCAGATCCTCTTATAAAAGCCCAGTCTTTTCTGACTTGACCAACCATCACTGATCCCTGCAAGACAGGTAAGTGGGAGCTGAGAGAAGATGAGATCCATGGCAAGAGTTGTACCTCACACATTTGGGGAAGGTCACAGGAGGATTCCAGTCCTCAGAGAACATTGAGCAGGAAGGGTAGTCCCGGGAGATCTCAGGGGTGGTAGGCTGTACAGATTCTCCAATTCTTTCCAGAACTAGAAGGGGATGGATGTCACCAACATCAACTTATTCCTAAGGGATTAGACACAGGAAAAGATAAGAGGCAGAACAGAGGGCTCTCTGCATGCCCTCTCTCAGACTACACTTCCTTTAATGATCTCTGGTTGTCTCCTCAAGTTACAGACGAGATGCTGCCTCCCATGGCCCTCCCCAGCATGTCCTGGATGCTGCTCTCCTGCCTGATGCTCCTATCTCAGGTCCAAGGTGAGATTTCTCTGCATCTAGCACTGGGTTCACTGTGAATCCTAAAGGCCAAGAAGATGAGGAAGGCTCCTGTGTGATACATGTAGTCATGGCGAGGTACATCCCCACACAATGACCTGCCTATAATTCCTCCATCATCACTCCTTCCTTTGGGGTAACTAGTGGCAGGAGACCCCTCAGTGGTCCATTTGCACTGGAGTGAGATGATTTCTCATTTTCTCAATGGACTCTAATTCATGTTGTTATGTTGAAGAGGAAAAGTGTGAGGGGTCAGTAATGGGATATGGGGAAGTACAATGGAGGTTCCAATGTAAAAACAGTCAGCCCAAAGTGGGGGAATGTTGGAAATTTGAATGTAGGGGAAGGATAAAAGAAAAGAGATAGTCCCTCATTTAATGGGGCTGGTTCAAGATCAAGGATCCTGAAAGTATTGGCAACAGTGAGAGGTAGTCAGGAGTTTGGTGTCACTTTCCCAAGCACTGGCCTCATAGATATTCCTCAGGGTCACTTGCCCACCCCAATCCCCACTCTTCATTTAACTACATCCATCTCCTTTATTTCCTTCCACCCCAGGTGAAGAATCCCAGAAGAAACTGCCTTCTCCACGACTCAGCTGTCCCAAAGGCTCCAACGCCTATGGCTTCTACTGCTATGCCTTGTTTATGACACCAAAATCCTGGATGGATGCAGATGTGAGTAGTTGGATTTGCAGGTAGGGGTGAGAGGGGAAATTACATCAGAGTGGGGGGTGGTTTCCATTCTCCAGAGTTTCTTGAGGGTGAATATGAGCACTCTCATCTTTTGCAAACACACTGCTTTTTACCTACCTCTGCCGTGCCCTTCCCCCAGTGATGTCTCAGGCTCCTCCTCAGTCTCTCCCTCCCCCACACAGATGGCCTGCCAGAAGAGGCCCTCGGGACACCTCGTGTCTGTGCTGAGTGGGGCTGAGGCATCCTTCGTGGCCTCCCTGGTTAAGAACACTGCGAACACCTACTCATATGTCTGGATTGGGCTCCACGACCCCACGCAGGTGCCATTACATTTTCTCCTCTCTGTTCCCTCTCAAGTTGCTATGGCCATCCAGGCCCAAGTCCTGTCCCCTCTGCCTATGCAAGAAACACAATATAGAATCTGGGAGTTCAGAGATCCTGCAAGATGTTTGGGAGACAAGGATGGCCTTGAGGCCAGCTGAAGAGCTATGATTTGTGGAGGATCCTAATCTCCGGCTGAATTTAATCTGCCTCTTGTCGAGATTTTTACACAATTCACACATGAGATCTTGTACTTTAGTTCCCTGAGCTTCACTGAGTTTGTGCATACTGTGCTGAGGAAATCCTAAATGAAGATAAGATCCATTTTTGCCCCTATAGAACAGATATTTTCTTTTAGTTTTAGAGGCTAGTTACAAATGCATCAATTGTTGTTCAGACAGTAACATATTACTTTCAGTGGTTCCACTGGTCTTTGTGATTATTAGTTTTGGGATTTGCCAATAGGAGCAAGAAGTTGGGGAGAGTTTCCCAAAGAAGAGATCTGTGGCAGCACCTGGATGGACAGTCCAAATTCCATGATGCTGAGGAGGGGATCAGATATCCAGCTGAGGGAATCATGCAAGAACTTTAACGGCCATTCAACCTCATATGTCTCCACCCTCTACTCCACAGGGCTATGAACCCAATGCAGGTGGATGGGAGTGGAGTAGCACTGATGTGCTGCATTACTCTGCCTGGGAGAAAGATCCTGCCATCATCTCAAACCCTGGCTACTGTGCGAGTCTGTCACAAAGCACAGGTAAGAAACAGAGGAGCTACCTTCTGCCCAGTCTTTTCCATCCCCTCATCTCCCATTTCTGGGCCTGATCTTGAGGGAATCCTCCTAAACTGGGAAATGCAATGTTGGTTTCTGTTCTCTCATCCCCTCTCATCTCTCATCTCTGAGGCTCCTTCCTCTAGAGTTGGGACCCTGGTGAAGAGGAGGGGGAGGCTTTGGATCCTAGGCCAGAGTCTGGGAGACCTCTCCATAGAATCACAAGCTCTACCACACCAACTCCATTCACTAGCTTTTCTGTATCTCTAGGATATCTGAAATGGAAAGACTATAACTGTGATGTGAAGTTACCCTATGTCTGCAAGTTTGAGGACTAGGTCAGGTGGCAGTCAGCAGCCTGCGTTTGGTATGCAGCTCATCATGGACATGGACCAAGTGTGAAGATTCTCCCAGAAGAGGAATATTCTCCCCACACCCCCAAACCTGACCACCTCATTCTGACCTACCCTCCTCCCCACCTTCATTTCAGGTTCTTCTGTTCCATAACCTGAGTGTACAAAGAGCCATAATAAAAATTTTAGTCTGCAATTGCCTATCTTGTGCTTCAGTCTCATAGATAGACCCTGAGAAGGAGGAAGTGGGTGGAGGAGGGGAACTGGGTGGTCCTGTCTCTGCCCAATTTCTCGCAATCCCTGCACAAATGACTAAATCTACCTCCTAGCAGTATTTTTGTGATGAGGTCTATTGGCCCTGCTCATGTAGGATTTGGGTTACATATGAAGACATTGCTCTCCCACCCCTCTACTGCCCACACATTCCCAAAGGCCAGGTGACGTGACACATTCAGACTTATGGTCTCTAATGGTGTTTAAAACAGTGCTTCCTAAACTTATCAGGGTGAAGGAACTGGTGTTTTTTTATTTTAATTTTTATTTTTTTTAAATTTCCAATCTAACGTGGAGTAATATCTGTAAAATACAATAAAAATGAATAAAAAAATTAAATGGATAAAACAGATAATCGTAATGCACACCTAATTTTTTTTATTATTAGTTTTGACAGACATAAAAGTAATCTAGCAAATAGCTATGAAATTTTCAAATATCTTTTAATTTCCATACTTACCATGCCATGGTCAGCTAGCAAACTGAGTATGAGCATTGGTCCATTGAACTATGCATTGCCCTGTCTTTAGAGGGCACCCTGTGCGGATGAACCCCAGCAGGTTCTCTGTTCTTGGGCCTTAAAATATTGTGGCCTCAGTCAGGTTGACGTTGGGATGACTTCAATGTCTGGCAGGATTTCTATCAATATTTTTTGAATGAAAAAAATGGTTTTTTGAATAATAGTGGGCTTAAAATATACAGATACATGAAGGAAAGACCCAGACTTTTCATGTATCTATATGTTTCAAGGCCACTGTTCTGCTTTCCACCTTATCACCACCCCTCCCTAACCACATGTTTTCCATTGTGGAAAAAAGAATGTACTTGGCCAGTCCTTAATCTGGAAAACAAGTTGTCATATGAGACCATTAAGACAATTATCCATATGGGCCAAGAACACTACCACATTGCCATGCAAGGGTATTGCTCCTCAAATAAACAGAGCAGATGAGTGGGCAATGTCATTTTTTTCCATTAATGTTTAAGTTTCTTTTACTCTTCCCAAGGTAGACTCTTCCCAAGGTGAATAAAAACCCATTTCGTATTTTTGGTGGAAACACTTTTCCATCAGTTTAAGTGAATTTATGATTATATGATGCCACAAGTCTTGATTTTCTTCCTGCTGAAAGAAATAAAATGGGTTAGAAAAGCTCACAGCGATTGTGCTCGTGCCAATTCCTATTTTAGTTTAGCTCTCCCTTTAACGGCAGGTGAGCCACTCCAGCTGTGGAGACCAGATCCTGTACTTCCAGTTGGAGCACCCTATTGTAGAACACAGGACATTTATAGTTGCGAGTAAGAAAGATCCCTATGTAATTTGGCTCAAAAAAAAGTACATGTATTTCTTGGATCACATAACTGAAAAATCTAACAGTAAGGTAGGTTTTGAGTTCAGTTCAATCAGGGCTCAAGTGGCATTTCTCTGGGGTTCTCTTGTCTGAGTTTTCTTTTATCTGTATGCTTTATCCCTCTACTGACTTCGTTTTACAGCTCAAGGTAGTTGCCAGCAGCAACTGGGGCTACTGATTCCTCATCAATATCAGAAGAGAGAACATATACTGTTTCCCAAATTCATAACAGAAAAATCCTGAGCTCCGTTCTTTTTAGACAAACCTGAGCAAGTCACTGCAGCCAGGGGACTGTCATGGGCTAGTGGTTGAAGCCTGAATTACTGCTCATCTTTGAACCATTATTAGAGCAAAGAGTACATATTATCCTCGTTGAAGCACGTGAGTTATAAACTGTCCAAGCTCTGGAGTGTGACCATTATCAAGCAAACCTCAGGAAGATTTACTTCAGGGGGATGCGAGGAATGGGTTTTCTTAGTGGAACACTTGGGTGCTAGTAGAGAAAGTGGGAAAGAGAGTAATGAAACTGGGTATGTACCCAAGCAATATCACCACACACACATTCGGACAGAGAATTGGAGGGAGGTAAGACAACATCATAATCAATTGGGATTAATGGATATGAAAAATGATATAAGCCTTCTTTTTTTTTGCTTAGTAATCAACAATTACCATATTACTACCATCAAAATAATCAAAATACAGGCATGTCCAGAGAGGCAAGACATCCCAAATTCGGTAAACTTCAAGTGAAGGATCAGCCACTTACTTATTGTCAGTTTGCTGTTGACACCTGGTGTCATAAAATATCACTCATCCAATTTTTCTTATCCCTTAGTTGTACTTTTCAGTTCTCTTTGCCAACTTACATTGCGAATACTCCTTGGTAGTTTCCCTTTGTCCAAATAATTATGTAAATATGCATGTTATTCTCAGCCTCCCTTTGAAAGTAACCAGCTCCACTGATACTTGAAGTTTAGATGACATGACTTTTCAAACCTAGGCTAGTGATGCTATATATTTTGGAAAAGTGAATAAGTCATCTGGTGAAGATAACATCAAAAAACTCCTCTCGCCTCAGAGCAATGAAAGGATAGAAAATTAGGAGGACAGAAAAATTTGTGATGTGACATTAAATCTTTTGAAAACTTTTCTTTCTAAATCAGATTTATACTGGACATCACTGTTCTCCTAAAGAGGTGTTAAACACTATGATGTTTAATTTACCTGGAAATCCAACAGGGCCACTTAGTTTCCATATTCTGGTTCTATAAACCAAGTGGCTGCTTAGTGATTCCTTAACAATGTGGGAAATTCATAACCAGTTCTTTGCTGCTAGCCATTTTTCCAGAAAGAAGTACTTTTTGATTCTCTTAAAATGAAAAATGAAAAATGAAACATCATGCAAACGATCATAAGCATTTTAAATAATGTATTGAAAAGAGTATTTATTCCTGTTTTCTATAATGAAAATTAAAAATAATATAAACATTCAACAAACCAGATAAGTATAATAAGTTGGGGTACAGCTATCAAAATTGAGTAATAACTATTATAAATGACACTGAAATGTTTAATACTTGTTAAATTATAAAATGTACGTGTGGGGGGAAGAGGAGTTGGAGGCGATGAAGTACCTCCTTTTGCATTCCCCCACTCACTGTCTAGCTTGAGTGGTTTTGCCACAGAAGATGGGGAAGATTTGTCCTAACAGGACCTGAGGGAGGGGCACAGCAACATTTAAGCCTCGCAAGAGAGCAGAGCAAACACAGGACACTGAGAAGGGACACAGGTGATGTGGGCTCATAGAGATTTCCAGCACGGGGAGAGGCTCTTCCAGGCATCGGCTGGGACTGCCCAACATAAGGCGTCCTTCCCACAGTCAGTACTGAATTTCCTTCAGGGAAAGGTGGAGTTTTATCATTCTCTAGGTGCTCCCAGGTGCCCAATTCCCATGTCCCTGAGTGGCAGAGGGAGCAAGAAAATATCTTCCAGGAGAGATGCAAAATGGAAGTGATGAAGTGGCCCAGAAGGGGATGCAGGAGATCAGGCCTGGGCATGATGAAGATATTTGGGGAGAGATTCATGGAAGAGAGAAGCAGGGAAGAGTGGACAGACCTTTCCTCCTACTGACAGCCCATCTCATCTCCTGATTTTGCCCTTTCTCCCAAACTCATGAAAATGACCAGTACATGCCTTGTAGAACCTAATGATGGCAGATGAGGAGGATAAAAAAAGGATAATTCTTCCAACTGAATCCAACTACATACACTCCCTGAAAATCTGACTTTAGTGTAAAAATTCTATCTGTGAGCTTATATCTCATTATTTTAAATTAAAAAAAATATGATACAATGTCTCCACCCCAACCCCCAATCAATTCTCTAAAACACATAAACATCTATGTATAAGTAGCAAACTATCATATTAAAATGGAAAATTCTTTAAAACTTTGACTCCTTTATTGGTAGACAATTAATACGTTTGTTAGAAACTTTTTTTTTATTTGTATGGGGTGCCATGATCCAAAGATGTCTCTCTTTGCACCAGCCACGTCTATGACCCATGTCCCCTTTGTGTGATTATGATCTGTTTTGTTTGGAATGTAACTTGAGATGTAGCCCACTTGTAATTAAAGGATTTATATTAAGATTTGGGAATGCATATATAAAATTTTCCTATATAAACATTGGTTAAATAATATTGCACTGAGGGATACAGGCATTGTGTGAAATTCAGCTAGTTAAAAATTAAGAGGTGTTCTATCAAGAAAATGTTAACCAGCGATGCTGTCTACAGGATATGCCTCTAAAATCTTAGGTGCTACTCAGAATTTGTCAGAGGGATGGTAAAAATTTTCTAGTTGGATAATGCTTTTTTCGCATTCATTCTTCAATTCTATCTTTTAAAATATTGTCAAATGCTCAGCATCTCTATGCTGCCAACTTCCCACAGACCCTTCCTCAAACTCATACAAATCATCTTTTTCCAAAAATCATAGACTATCTATCACAAGTTGAAAAAGCCCTCTCATTTTATTGAGGAAGAAAGGAATGTTCACGGAAGAGTTGAGAGACAATTCTCCATGTGGCGCTCATGTTTCTTGGACTTCTTCAAGCAGAGGCACCAACTGCTCTTTGTTTTGAACTATGTTTTCCAGGATGTTTGTGTAGTGAGAAGCCTTTGAAAACAGAAGTGGCATCTCCTTCCAAAGCAAAGGGCGGGCTTGCTTACAATTTTGGAAGGCAGAGATAATGTCTCTATCCAGAATGAAGACAGGCACACTTACTTTCCAATACAATAAAGATGTCTCCCTGTGAAGTAAAATATAGGCTTGCTTACTGCCATTAGAAAGATTCAGGTTCCTTAAGCTCCTATAGCATGATAATAGGGGATATTCCTCCCCTGCGATGTAATCCACTGCATGAGATGGCATCTGTGTGGGCCCCCCCCGCCCACATGAGACTTGGGGATAAGAGGAACTACAGTAAATATGCTGAAGTTCATGCTGCTGCAAGTAATCAAGTCCTTTGCCTTCTGCCTGTATAAATGAAACCGTGGAAGGCCCATTTAG